TGAAAGAGTGTTAAAAATCACAAAACAAGCCCAAACTATGCACAAGAGCCTGTCAGCTGGTCCAGCTCATGCCGCAGTCCTGTTTCCATTGGAGCCCAGCTGGGATGGGTGTGCACCTCCAGTGCTTATCATTTGAACGTTGTTTACAAGGCGTAACCCAGGAAACCAGAGTTCATGGACTTTGCTGATCCCTGAAGCACAAGAACCTTTGAACTGCTTACCTGGTATTTTTTTGTGGGCAGAAGAGCATGAGCCTACCAGATAGATCTCTTGGTTTGAGTTCACACTACAGGGAGCTCGTCCATATTTCCTAGAAACCCCAACTGCCTTGCTGGGAGCTCATGCCCTGACCACACACAGCCTGACAAACCACTGACACATAGCCTGACAAACCACAATAAACAAATAAATGTATTTATTCCCAAGGTGAAAGAACAAAATCAAAACTCCTGTGTTTGTGACTGCTGAGCATCACACACAGCAGCCTGAGTGCTCCAAAGAACAGACACTGGGATATGGAGAGGACACCTGTAAACCACCAGAGCTGAGGCTGCTGGGTGATCTCCTTCACCCTAATCTGCCCCTTGATATTCCAGGCATGAATATATTGGAAATGTGCAAATTACTGGACATTAGGAGTGTGACCCTTTATAGTAAAGGACATATTTTCAGGTCGATCAACACCAGATATATCCTTCTTCACAACAATGCTCAGAAAAAGCAGGTGCTTTGTTCTGTGTTCTGAAATCACCTTCAAACAAAGGAAGAAATCTTTTGTGCCATTCCAGGAAAATTTTTGTGTTTGCCACTGAATAGTACAACAGGAATAAACTTCCAACGTGGTGTCTGCTTCGGTGGGACACCCAGAGCTTCGGGGGTTGCTGCTCTCCTGGTCAGGAAGGTGTTCCCATGGAAAGCCGGCTCCCAGTGCTGCAGACAGCAGCCGGGGCTCTCCCTTCCAGCGGCGAGGCAACACTGCCCCGCGGGGACCGAGAGCAGAAATGAAAGGGAGATGCTGCTCTGGGAGATTTCACAGCCGCTGTTCTCTCTTTGGGGAAGGAGTGGAGGCAGCTCTCAGCCTCACTGAAACACAGCATTGATCCTTTTATTCTTTGGGAGACCTGAATTGTGGTTCTTCCAAAGATGCAGATCAGGAGCAGGATCTTCACGGTTGCTCAAAGGCATCATCCTTTCCCATCTTCTCTTCTGGCAAGAAGGCCACGGTGGTGCTTAGAGAGGGCTCATTCCTGTCTTTAGGGATAGCTGTGACAAAAGCAAGCTCCCATTGCTCCCACCACACTCTTCCCACCCGGTGCCTGCGAGGCATCGCAGACCCGAAGGGAAAGCAGAGGAGGGCAGAGCCTCACTGAAAGCCACGTTCTTCCCCTCTGCTCACCCAGTGGCTTTAGAGGTCACTGCAGCTTCTGCTGCAATAAATCATGGAGAGATGTCACACTCTGCTCCATGAGAACGGGTCCCTGAAAAGTGGGAAACCAGTGTGGACCTTGGGGTGTTGTCAGAGGACAGCCAGTGAGGTGAGCTGCCTGCTCCCAGGGGTTCCTCAAGGATGAGCTCACATCACAGAAACCCACAGTTCAGGGTATCACCACACCACCTGCACCCCTGAAACCTGTACAGGGTCTTTTCTGGCTGAAAACCAACCCAGAAATGCCACTGGCCTGTGCTGAGACCAAGCAGACCCCAAGGGGCCTTTGTACCCACTCGAGCACTCAGCGGAGAATAGCCCCATTACTGAGAACAGCCCCATTCCTTAAGAATTTCCTTAAAAGCCCCTCTTCCCAGGGGAAGAGAGGTGGAAGAGCACAGCAGAGGTTGGAGGCATCTTAGTTTTTAACTTCTCTCTGAAATTCTGTTCTGCAGACGACCAGACAACAAATACCCACACCGACAATTCCACAACAACATTGCAACACTCAGCCCAGTCCCAGGAGCCACTGAGCCACTTGCTGTTTATGTCGTGACACTGTTTGTCACTCCTGCCCTCAAACATAATTAGTTTTAAAGAAAGCTGATAAATTCCCCCCAGTTAAATGCTCAAAGGTTCAGAGAAACATTCAATTCACAGGATGAAACAGCAACTGGGAGGAGCTGTGGTGGGTACACATGGAAACACAAACATGCATGCCAGACCTTGGGAGGAAGGTGAGTTTTCAAGTAATTCCGAAGCAAAGTATCCTCCAAGTATGGGTTCCCAGTCTTGGGCTGCTCTTGGAAGAGGGTCTCCGTTGGTCTCCTCACAAGGGGCATTTCCAGATTTTCTAACACTTGTTTCTGCTGCGTGCTGACCGGCTGCTCCTGCCCCACGGTCGTGCTGATTCCTTTAACACTCGGTGTTTGGCACCTGTCCCTGGTGCGAGGCAGAAAGTGGCCCGACTGCCAGGGCTGGATGGTGGCACTGGATCTCCACCAGGGCAGGCGACGGGCAAACATGATTCAGCAGAGCCCTGAGCGTGTCACGCCAACAGCTCTCACCTACAGACCGTTCCTCACCCGACAGCAGCACCAATCCTGGCTGGGGTGAGTGTTGTGAAACTGTTCTGCCTTCACTCCTCCCTCCGGAAGGAGTTTTCCTGCAGCTGTTGTCAACCGAACTAGGGAAAAGGTCTTTGGCAAGAGATCAGAAAATGGCCTAGAAAAATACAAGTACTCAGGAAATACAGTGCTCTCCCCTACTAGCTGGGCAAAGCATCATAACCGGTCAGACTGACATTTCTAGAGCTGGGGGAACTGGGAAGGGGGGGGGTGAGGGGTGTATTCTCACCTGAATTGCTTGAAATGATAATGGGGTAAAGATGAGGAGGAGAAAATACTTTTCTTTATCTAAAAGATAACAAAATGCCTGGAAATGGGAAGAATTCATTTAGGCAGGTTATTCTGTAAGTAAAATAGTGGGGAAATGGAGAACTCATCCTCCTTGCCTGGGCTGTGAAATAATCTGGTTCTTACAGAGTCCCTTTGAGTTGAGTTGGGACAATATTGTCTCCCTTTCCCTAGAGAAGTACCAGAATATTCTAAGAATGTGGCTTGAGTAGTTGAAAACCTGCACCTTCCTCGAGGTGATATGCTGCAAATAAACCTAGTATTTGGCTATAAAGTGATTTTAAACATACATGATACCACACCATTCCCTGCCATGGCTGGCCCTGCCGCTATTTCTTCTGCAGGGTCACCTTGTGTCCTGGTTTTGGCGAACGACAGGGGGCTAAATTGAGGAATACCATCCTAAAAGAAGGACACCTTGCCCTGCCCGAGTTCCAGGTGCAGGGCAGCAAGGACAGGGACAGACAGGGTCAGGGACAGCGGCACACACAGACACACGGTCAGGGTCAGGGACAGACACACGGTCAGGGACAGCAGCACACACAGACACACGGTCAGGGACAAGGGCAGACACACGGTCAGGGACAGCAGCACACACAGACACACGGTCAGGGTCAGGGACAGACACACGGTCAGGGACAGGGACAGACAGGGTCAGGGACAGCAGCACACACAGACACAGGGTCAGGGACAGCGGCACACACAGACACAGG